AAAAGTTAATCTTTTTATTTCGGACATATTTTCTTCCATTGTTATTGTAAATTCAAATCCACAATTTGTTAAACAGATGTATAACGTAAAGAATTTTTCTCTACAGCCATAATAAAGCCATTAACTTCAATTTCAGGATCCTGACCTGTAGGAGTTTGGCTTAACCAGGTGCATGGCTTACCATTTGCGGATAAGGATTTACTTAAAGTGCTCATTTACGAGTCAACACTGAATTTCTTAACATTAAAGAAAACGTTATCATTTCTCATGCTTAGCGAAAGAGAATTATTTCCAGAAATTACAGATAGGTTTACAAAGAAAACGAAAAAGAAAAATAAATAAATTTAGATTTTCAAATTCTTCTGTAATATATTAATGAAGTGCTTACCAAATAAATAAATTCTGCGAATCTTGTTCACATTTGTATAACTGTGCGCTATGGTGTAAGCCTAAGTCTTGCGTACTTGCCATTCACAATTTATAGAATCTAATTTGTTTTGGGTTTAGGCAGCGATTCTCTATTACTCAGCTTTCATCTTCACTAGAAATCAAATTATCGAAACGCAATTTAGGGTCAGTGTTCGTTACCTTAGACTACGGGATAGCGCCTTCACTTATGATAGTAGTTACGATATCTAAAATCTGAGACATCCAAAACATCTAAATAATTGTCGGGAGCCTTTTACTTTGCGATCAGCCTCTACACTCAGGATTAAGTTGTGTAATACACCTCGAAAGTCGGTAAGTACCCCTACCTGATCATTGGATCAAAGGTGGTCAGCAGTAGTTGAGTTAATCTGCCGTGTTAAAACCCGAAAGGCCCAATGGTGAGAAAGTCTGTAATTAGCGCTAAGGAGTTATCTTATCGCGTGGGCTAACCTCTTCCATCAGAGTTAATGAGGAGTTGACGAGATCACGTGGTTTTAAGAGAAAAGGGATAGAGCCGATGGGGGTATAGAGTGGGGCGGATGTCATGGTGATTCCGTGATGCTCTTATCACTGCTAAACAGTCGGCCTTCAGCGTCACGGTTGTCTCGCATTGAATATCCAACCGTTTCGTTCTGTATCGAGATGTTGACAAACACCCCCAGGAGGGGGGGTAGGAGGAGATCGGGACTTTAGAGAGTAGACCTTACTTGTGCGTTTTAACTGCGCTCTTGTTATCGGAGATTTGCAGAAGCTGAATAATTTTTCTGCCATCTCACACTGATATGTTTTACTCCAAAGGGTTAAGTTCCAAAAAAATGTCGTCACATTTCATAAAATCATTTTATCTAATCTTGTTTGGTTTTCCAAAGAGAGCATAAGTAAAATTTTTCGTCTAAAGACATATTTCCCAGAATATTATTTAAAAAACAAATATTGTCTCCTTAGCTAGTATTATTAAGTATGGAGTCTTTATCTCTTATGATTTAAGAAAATGCAGGTACAGCTTTAACTGAATTTCAATATCTTATTTATGAAAGACGAATATGCTTAAAGCTTGAGTTCTATTATTTTTCGTAAAAGGTATGTTAAAATCAAGCACAGAAGCTAAGCACAAAACATTTATTGAGCTGTATAACTTGGTATATTACAAATTTGGTATGTTACTAAGTATCTCAAGACCACAGTTTCTTTTAGTTTAACTGATTTTCAGCAGCATGTCTAAGTATATTGTAACATTCGATATGCAGCTCCCTCTTTGCTAATTGTTTGAAATGTATTAATTAAAATTTCTATAAAAATAATGTTAAATATATATTTTTAACTATATATTTAACTATATATAGTTGATATTTTTAGCAATCATTTTCCGTCTTTACCATGTATGATTACAGACTATTTTATTTAACTTTATTTCTCATTTTAAGTTCATGTGTAAAATTCAGAAATAAAATGAGAAACATTCTGTTGGCTCTAGGTTCCAAGAAAAGAAATATTAAGCGAAGAACGAATAAAAATCCTGCATGTAAATATAGTCAGTTCCCAATTAACCGAATGCGGATAAGCCGAGCCTTGTCCGAAGAAATCACAATTTTCGCAGAAAATACGAAAAAGAGAAGGAAATGCATAGCAGAAACGCAGTAATAGCAAATGATAGCACAATATTTAAGAATTGTTTTTTGCTGCAATAGTGTACGAGTATAATTTGATTGTACGTAATCCGGAATATGCATTAATGAAGAAATTATGAGTTAAAATAAATAGCGAAATCGTAGAAACAAGTTAAATGTACAGTTATTAATTTTCTGTTTCCCATTCACTCATATCGAAATACAAAATATAGAATTTGACGGCTTTTTTCCACAGACAGAATCTGCAAAATAGCATTTGAAGAGAACTCGAATCTCAAATTATTTTTGAGATTCGGTGTATTTATTAATTCTGCAATTAATGTATTTATTAAGTTCTTTTCATTGTAAAATTCGATCTATTTATTAAAATTTCCAATTACAGCTGCATTAAGTTAATTTTACTTTCTATTTATATGATTAAATTTCAATACAATAGGTATCTGTGAAATAAATATCAAGAAAAGTATTTGTTGTGTTAGACCTGTAAAATTATTGCATAGACCTGATTATCGCTTTTAAGTAAGAACAATACAAATATTTTACGGATATTGTTAGCAGTTTATTTAGAAAGAAAAAATGATGTTTATTAAAAAGAAGCGTTAATCCAACGAGTTACACAAATATATTTATTATATTAGTCTGTTCAAGTAAATCAAGTATTGCATGAATTATTGTTAGAAATTCGCCTTTTTTATTTACTACAACTCTAAAAAAATGACAACACGAAGCTTTAGTATTCAAGCTGAAGCAGATGTCATCAAAGTTCTTCCTGATACTTCGTGCCTTCCTGTTCGATTCTACTGTGGTCTCGACCTTCTTGTTCATGTTTTAATGTTCTTGCAATAGGACTGTTGTTTTCGTACCAATGAATGAAAGCTATTAAATTGTCCAGGTATGCTATTTGCCAGATTCGTTTTTATACAATGGCGGCAGAGCCTGTGTTGCCATGTTGTGATGCTTAAACACCCATGTGGAAATCAAAGATTCTGAAATAATTCAAATTATTCTATGTGCTGAATTCAGCAAACAAATAGAGCTGCTAAATCACCCCGTAAAGGATTTGTTATCACGGGGGCTTTTTCGAACAAGAACAAGCGGAATCGGCGTTCATTAAGACTATGTGAAAGCGCCATAAGGACCTGCATTAGCTTTTTACTAACACTGTATAAAGACACCACGCAGGCTTCGTAAGATATTCTTTGCTACTTTATGAACTACCTAAAGTTATACATACTTTCTCTTTTTACTTTTATCTCTTGTCTAAGACTTCCTTTTTACACAGAAAAGAGATGATATGAAGCGACTTATAACAATGAGATAACAGGTTTGGCGCTAATAAATCAGAAAAAAAAATGTTTTTAACAATAGCGAACATTTTTACATTTCTCTGAGGACCCATAAATTTTCCAAAACAAGGGAAAAAAACGTATGTTTTGAATAAGTTATCAGATAAATAAGAAAGAATATATTTTTAGAAATGTAACTAAAATCCAATTTCTTAAAATATATTACAGCATTTTTAAGTGGTAATTTAGCTTATAAATTTCATTTCATACTTTATTTCTTTGTCAAAGTAAATAAATGAGCATTTTTAAATTGCAACATTCTCTTTTTCTTTCTATTCTATCTTAGATTTTATACTTTTAGCATAATTGTAAGGTAGGAGTTTTCTAATAAATATTTCCTAAAGGGGATGTTAAAAATGTATGAAAATTATTGCTGAAGATTGAAATTTTTAAGAAAACCTTAGGGAATGGCATAAGTTTATTCAATAATTTTCTGTATCAAATTGTAATGAACATATTTAACTACAAAAAAAATTGTGAAAGAGCGATATTAATGACCATTTGTGATCTCATATTAATAAAAATACTCTGTTAATGAAATGAAGGCACCATTCATTAATGCACCTTTTGCTTATACAACGGTGGAGCTCTTTTTATGTCTAATGTATAGATACTGGTATAACAAATGATTCATTTAAGGCAAAATTTTCGCAACTTATTTAAGTATGAGTAGTGTTTTGTATTAAAAAAGACATATCTATATAAATGTATATTATCATCAGTACTGTATTAATTGCAAAGAAATAATTCAGTAGGTAAGTGCAATATTATATATACATTAATTTTAAATATTTAAATCCCACTTCGAATCTTTTACATAAATTATGTTTTGAAATACTTCTTTTTTACTCTTAAAATTTAGATAGTGTTAGAATAATGAATTTATTAAAGCACAGTTTTCGTAAATTATACATGCCTACGCATGTTTGAGCATAAAAACATCTGCATAATAGTAACATATTAATTACAAAGAAAGCAAGCTATAGACAAAGTTAGATACGTGCTGATTTTAAGTAAAAAGGATTTATATAAATAATGCTTAGAATCTTTCATTTATTAAGAATGTTTACTTTCGATAGCGATACTGCTTTGTTTCTTCTTAAAATTTAGACACTGTCAGAATAAATAACTCTGGTAAGGCAAAATTTTCTTACGTTACTCATAACTACAGAAATTCCTGCATTAAAAAAAACTACTTGGTGGATTCTTTTACAGCAACGACGGATTGCTAGTGAATGAAACTCGCAGTAGGTAAATGCAACATTAGATATTCAGTGACTTTAAGGAAAAAGCATTTACTTAAATCATACCTAGAACATTTTGTTTAAAATTTTATATAGTGCCTGTTATTTAAAATCAGTCTAAAGCTGGGTTTTCCTAACTTTCCCTTAATAAAAAAAATGAGCACCGATATAAAAATGTATTCAAAGAAGGTAATAAGAAAAATATACAAAGAATGCATATGATAAACAAGAGTTATTTTTACTATTAGAAATGGACCATTTGAATTTGGCAAAGCGCATTAAGAGTGTCTAACTTGAGAAAGATTTCTAAATTTTGTGGAAGACTTTCTGAAAAAAACCTGGTTATTACTTACGTTACACATGAGAAAAAACCCCGAAACACACACGTAGCCAGTTTTTTCTACTGCAAGGACTTGAGCCACAGTAGGCGAGCTACAATGTACTAGCTGTGTTCAGCTGTACATTGTATCCTTTGCTTTATCCCGTCTGCTATTGATCAACCTTCTGCAATTAGAAAACAGTTCAATTTGACTTTGATTTTATTAAGCTGTATAGAAAAGATACAAATCAGACAATAAAATGTTCTTGAACAATTTAATGTGTGATTACTCTGTAGTACATTTTTAGCAATATTTAATGTTCTTCTCCCTAATTCTTACAGAACATCCCACAGTCAGTCCAAGACCACGAAATTCCTTGTGGCAAGGAGTGTTGTGTAGAGAATTGTCTGATCGCGTTATAAAAACTAGGTGAATGATTTTCTGATTTAAGAAAATCTTAATTTTATTTGATTCTGAAATATTTATTTTAATGCTTTAATTTTGGGGAAAAACAGATGCTTCTGGGAATATTATTTAGTTTCAAAGAATATTATTTATTTTCCTTTTATTTGCAATTTTTGTCCAAGCTTTGATTCATTGTGAAAAGAAGCAGGGAAAGGAGGCGATTTTGCCAAGTTATGATTTCGCGCGCTTTGTTCTTTAGAATGTTCTAGAAGAAATTTCATTGTGCAATTGACCTTAGGACAGGAAGTACGTGACAGAAGGGTCAGAGGTTGCCACTTAACCTTCGATGTAAGTCATTCAGGTTTTGGCGATCGGGGGTCCGGTTGTTGGCTAATTGAAGAAGGGCGCGCATGCGCGATCACCCTTATTTCCGCATTCAGGGGTTGAAACGCAAATTTTGCCCAAATTAAGGGGGCGATAATTGAAGCCATTGTGGGAGCCCGCGTTTGTGAAGGAGACGAAGAAAATTCGAGTTTGAATCACTTACTCTTGGAATCAGTTACTTGCTAGACTTACTTTTTTGACGTTACTTTTGAAACTTGCTCTTGGGTTGAGCGATAGAAAAGATGTAGTTTCCCGTGAGACATGTTTTCCGGCGGGGAGCGGCAAACATGCTCCCCGACCGCGTTTTGGCTAAGAGGCGAAATTGAAGATGGGCGAGTTTTACTGAAATGTTTAAAGAGACTTTTTTTTTGCCCGACTTTGGACGAGTTTTGCTGAAAGATTTAAGACTTTCAGGATTAAGACTTTTTGCCCGACTTTCGAAGGTGAAGGATTGTTAAGCTTCTGGGGATGAATAAGTTGTGATTCCGGCTGAGAACGGTGGAGGCTATCCGGCCGTTGACATGCTATCGGAAAAGGAAAAACCGGGGATGATGAGGATTTTCACAAGTATCTTAAAATAAGAAAAGTTTTTTTTTTTCCTCCAGCGAGTATTAAATTCCAAAAATTATAGGCCAAGTTCCACCCCGCCAATGTAAGATTTTATTCTCGACATCCGGACAGCGAGCTTGAAGATTCTGCTTAGGTGCTGGTTCCAGTGGCTAATTTTCTTCGATGCTGAGCGTGTGGATGTGTTGATGAAAAATAATGGAGTCGGTGTTCTTCTACATTGCGGTCAGTGATACCGAAAGCGTGAGACTCCTTAGACGCCAGTGTTCCCCTTACGAAATGTATTACTCCCAGGACTTAAGGTGGACTATTTATCCCTGATTTCTCCCAGAATGCAAGGCCAGCCCAGAGACAATTTCCGGGTGTGTTTCAAGTCGCCTTCGACAAAACAGATAAGTTTTAGCTTTGTTATCAATTTTTTCCTTCGAACCTTTTGGAAATTGGAACTTTACTTTAAATTGAATCTTAAATTAATTCTAAAGGACTAAATTGCCTCCCTTTTTCCCCTTCTTATTTTACCGAGACAAACCTTAAGGTCCTCTTATGAATTAGGATGTAGTAATATAATTTGTTTTTGTAATCTTCCTTAGAACAGATGTTGAATTGCAAATAATATGTTTTCTTTAACCTCTTAGAAATTACAGAACGGGTACCTGTTAAATTAAAAGAGTCATGTAATAGATTTGCAAAATCATGAATTTAAATGTAACAAAAGAAAATGATAATTTGAAGAATTCACCTGCGTCTAAATTAAGAAAATTGAACTGTAACTAAAATAAAAAATGTGAGTCTCTGATTAGGATAAGATTTAATTTTAATTGTTGAGGAATTTGAATAAACTAGTATTTAATCTGGTGGTGTGGTGTGGTGTATTTAATTATGGCAAAGCACACTAGGGCTATCTGCCTAAGGGGAGGGATGCCTTCGTGGAGGACTTTCTAAGGGAAACTGGCTCGTATACTCGTTACACATGGGGAAAACCACGAAAACACTCATGCAGCCAGCCCGTTCGCAGGATTCGAACCTCGGACCGAACTACCAGTGTTCAGCGACTTTACCGCTCGGCCGCTGGTGGGCCTGGTACTTAATCTGGAAACCTTTACTTATGTTTTCTTTACATCTTTTATGTGTTTTTCTATACATATATATATATTGATTTTACGTGTTGTTTATTCGATTCTCTCACGGCGCGGTCCCGGATGCATTTTCACAACGCAATGCACTAAAAATTCACTTATACGATCACTAAAAGTGTGGTAATTAGCTAACTTTTCAGAGTTTAGTTTCTAAGTTGATATTTAGTTAGTTACGGTTTCACCTGTCTGTTTCTACATTAAGTTCCTCCCTAAGAGGAAGTAGTAACACAGCATTGGTGCCCATGATTTTTACGGCAAAATATAGAAACAGAACATAAGTCCCGCAACTAGACAGAAGCGTAAAATTACGCCTGTCGTTAGCAACAGCATTGAGAACCATATAGGTGACAGTGCGATTTAGCTAAATTCCGCCCCCAATTTTGATGGACAGCACGCCGGTGGGGTACGGGTCCGCGGGTCTCTCACTCCTCTTCCCCTACCACCAACATCTCCAGAGGACTTTCGGCTCGCCGCAGACTTAGAGTGCCCCCATGCCGCATGGACACTATACATTTACAAGCAGCCATACCTTCTCTGGAATTCGAACCCGGGCCCTTCGGCACAGCAGTCAGCGACACTAACCACTATACCGGTTGAGCAGCAGAAATTTTATTCATTACAGTTTTGTGGAAAGGAATACTATGCTTATCTCAATGAAATTCTATTTGTGAAAAATTTTTCACTGTTCATTTTCGTAATTAACGTGCCTCTCTACACACACCGAAGAGTTCACGTACCAGCACTAATCGATGGTTCATATAATACCATTCAAAAATATGCAAAATCAAATTAAGTAACGACAAGAAACAAATAAGCTTCATTATATTCTGTGGGTAACAGTTTAGAAATCAGCTGTCACCGATATAATGGCAAAGGTATATTCTAATAAAATTATGTTCGTTTCAGTCGAAACGCTTGGCTTATTTTGAGATTTCATTTACGCTCTGAAGTGAAAAATAAACTGAGTTTCCAGATGAACGAGCATAAGAATGCATAAAGTTTGTCACTATTGTTTGAAATGTTTACCGTTTAAAGTTGAAAATCAGTTTTCAGATTCTGAAAGAATATCTTTACCGTTATTACAATGTAGCTTTAACTATTGGATACGTAATGTTATGAAATATTTCTAGATTAGAGGAATGTGTGCATATTTTTACAGATTAGAAAACTAATTACAATCTTTTCAGTTACAATATTAATACACATCTGAAATTCACATAGACCAAAATTAAAAATAAATGTTAATTTTAGATTCAGATTGAATATGAAGAGAAAAATATTTTTCTTTGAATAAGGCGTTATCACTTTCTGAATGCATGCCACTTCTGAATATAGCATCAGTTTTTTTTCAAACTCAAACGCATTTATTTTCAAGCGAATATGAAACGATTGCACCAAATGCTGATTGCGTACTTCGCCATTTTCTTTTTTAGAAGAAGCATTGTTTATGTTTTTCGCATGTTTAGTTAAGCGATTTTTCGATCCATAAAAGTATTTATTGTGTGAAACAAAGTTTTAAATTGCTGAAACTTTAATGTTTTTGAAATACTGGGTCGAGTCACATGACTGTAACACATGTCACATGTGTTTTTGAAATACTGGGTCGAGTCACATGACTGCCTCTTACGTTTGAAATTAAGGATAAATAACCAAGGATATAAAACAAATATAAGCAGCAGATTTAGTGGGTATATAAATTGTTATATGGTCATTCGTGAAACAATTTAGTTGTAATGAATAAACTGAAATTTTTATCAGACTTTCAGAAAAGAACAACTATTGGTCAAAGATGGCAGCATTTCAAGAACTAAGCAGTTTCTTAACTGGTGTTCACGTACTGCTGTGGTGAACGTGTACCATGAATGGCAAAATAGAGTTATATAAAATTATCAGCGTTGAACCTGCACAGCACCACGAGCCATAGATAAAATAGGTAAATATGAGAGAAGAGGCATAGATGAAAGCGGCTGCGGAGGAAGAACTCAGGCCGATCAACATGCTAGAATGCACCAATTTACTGTCCTAGTAAACTAGTGAGTAACCACAATTGAGTCTAAAACGAAAGTTCAGCCGCGTATGAGATTCCGCAACAGATGAATGGTGGCAGAAACTATGTTAATGGCTGCTCATCTGCTGAAGAGGATGGGATCTGCACGGCAGTATTAATAAAGAGCTTCAACTGATTTGCAAAATCTTACCTTCTCCAATGAATTAAGTCTTCCACTTTATCGGATGGATGGATGTTAGCGTCTACTGCAAGAAACATCTGGAAAGAAATAGTCCCTAACTATTTGTGTGAATACAAGCTGAAGGAGGCAACGGTATGGCCTGGATAGTCTTTTTGCAACATTCTTTGGTCCATTTATCATTGCAGACGGCACTATTGATCGCATTAAAGTATTTATGGATCTTTGCGGACCAAGTGCACCCACACATGCAGACTTTTCTTTTCCATGGGAAGTATGGCACCTTCTGATACAACAATCCGACGTGTAACACAGCTAAGAATTCTCCAGACTGTTTGGAAGAGCATGGAAAATATTTTACTGCACAAGTTTGGCCCCCATATTTCCCAGATTTAAGCCCATCGATAATCTCGACGGATCACTTCGATCTGGTTGTTTGCTGTATGGATCTTACGACATTCACACTCCAGCAGATGTTAGCTGTTCTGCTGTCAATCAGCATAGAT